AAGTTTCTTTAGCTGGGGAGTTCATGTCTTTGAGTAAAGATCGGTCCCTCTATTGGGGGAAATATTTCCTCTTGGGGGCAAGCAAAAGGCTTCAGGAGAGTCACATGGAGGGGCACAAGGATGCCAGGGTGTCATCCAGCTGTACAGATGAGCCAGATCTTGATCTAATTGATGGATTTGGGCTCCCCTGATTCGGATTTGAGATGACTTTGAGATCATTGAAGAAGGTGCATATTTATCTTTTCACTAGTTACAGAAAAGGCTGATAAGTGAAAAGTATAAAAATATAGTAGGAAAAATACTAAACGTGCCTCTCCACCTGCTTCCCCCTACAGAATTAGAATTTAGGAGTGGGGCTTTTTTCTGCCTGAGCTTTCCATGTGATTGAGAACTACTGCTCAAAGACACTGTCATAAAAACGCAAGAAATCCTGGTCCGAGCCAGGTTTTGCTGACCCAGATGGAATGTTGTGGGAGGGCACGGAGATTGGCTTCCCTTCTAGTCTCTGCAGGTTGGCCTTCTCAGTTTGTGTCTCATTGGCCCAAACGGGATTAAAAGCCTGCCCACCCGCCAACCCCATGGCGCCCCTGTGGTCTAAATAGGCTTCCTCTTCCAACTGGCGTGGAATGGATATTAGGGAGTTCATCACAGCACCTCTATAAATGCTTTGCTCTATGGTTCAAAAAGCTTCTGCCATATTCTAAGTTTCAGTTTATGAGACTTGAAGCAGCCTGCTTCCTTCTTATTGGCATTTTCACCAGAGTACTCAAACCATACGTCATAAATCTGTCAACCTATTCTGAGGGTTGGGGACAGGACACTGTCCCTGCTGTCACAGAGCTTACATCCTGTGGGGAGTTATTTTGGGTGGGAGGGAACGGGTTGTTCAGTACACATGTAAATGAATACATAAATGGACTATGAGTAAGAAATGAACAGAATGATAAAGTTGCTGAAAGGCCTAAAAAGAAAATAGACTCGGTTGTACTGTCTGGGTGGAAGGAAGCTGCTTTAGTGAGGATGGTCAGCGACGCCTCCCTAAGGAGGTCAACTTGAGCTGAGGCCTAAGTGACAAGGACCGAGCCAACTTAGACCTCAGGGAAGACCAGCCCAGGTGGAGGATACCTGGGAAAGCCTGAGGTGCCATAAGGCTGCCCAGAAGAGGGTCACTTTGATCTTTTTGCCAAGAAAGCAGGTGGTCAAGCACCAGCTACTAATATAGATATGGTTCCTGAGAAAAAAGGATTTTGGTGAGCTTTTATACTCTTTTATGCTTTTACTATGAAAACAGAACGTTTTCTTGAAGTAATCAAGTGCCAGTCACAATTATGAAGCAAGAAAATATATATATTTTTAAATAGCATCCACAATTTCTAGCTAGATTCTGAATACCGATTCCTGACATAATTAGTGGACCATAGAAAGTTTCCATCAGCATCAAACAAACATTGTATTTCACAAACAAGGGGGTGAGATGTGAGTTCACACTTACGATTCCTGCTCAAGAGCACTTTGTTTGGAAAGGAATTTTATTTTTGAATAGGTTGTACATGTACAAAGTTCAAAGTTCAGAAAGCATAAAAGCAGTATATTCAGAGCAAAATCTTCCTCCCTTGAGCCTGTCTCCCCCCCACCCCCACCCCTAATCTCCTTCCCTCCCCCAGGAGGGGACCTTACTATCAGTTTGCCTTTAAATCCACCCTGTGGAATATTTTATTGCTTTGAGGCTGAAGAGAAAGGTGGGAATAAGGGTGGGCTGAGGAAGAGGTGGGGGGACCAGCTGCAGTGGGAAGGGGACTTTGGAAGGCTTGGTCTCCAGAACTCTCTGCAGGCTTGTTCCCCAAGCTGAAGGAAGGAACCGCTTCCCCTTCCTGCAGGCCTGAAGCCTCCCTCTCCTAGGAACACACACAGGAAACTGGATTCTGTGGTGGTTTCCTTCCTCCTTTTACTGCCTGCCTCAGATTCAATGTGCTTAGTCTAAGCAAAGGCACTTTCTGTCACAATCTGGTTTTAGCAGCCCATCAGCATCTCTGTAAATAGATGCGAATTAAAAACCCAATACTAAAAATATTAAAATGGTTTCTCCACCCCCTCCTTTAGCCTGTTTATAATTTCAGCAGATATATCACCC